TTCTTTGCATCTAGCATCAGATTATCTCTCTCTCTCGCAATCTCTCTCTCTCTCTCTATATATATAAATCTCTAAGTGAAAGTTCTCTAGTAAGAATATCCTTCAGAGTCATTATCTTTGCTATCATTAAATATAAATCAACTCCTACACCCATTTCAGTTTAGGACTCCCATTGCTCTCCAGCTGATTAGCTGCCTTTCATTAATGACTCTTCATCATCATTAGAGAGACGAGAAAACATTTGAGCCGCACGAACCCCTGAGAGCCGTCAGCACCAACGCAAACACACAAAACACACTGCAGCTATTCCTCATCCAAACACACACACACACACACACACGCACGCACGCACACACGCGCGCACACACACACACACACTCCCTCACTCACACACACTCACACGCACGCACACACACACACACACACACACACGGGTCTGAGGTCATTGGAAATGTCTAGAAAAAAGCTCAAGTGCATCAATATGGAAATTTCTGTACTAAAGACTGCTATTCTCTTGCTCTTAAGGATTTGATTTTGCTCTTATCTGTATCAGAAACACGAACAAAGCATGAGCAGGACAGAGACAGAGAGAGAGAGAGAGAGAGAGAGAGAGAGAGAGGCATTGAGGAGTTCTAGAGACACCAAAGCCTTTGTGCTCTTATCAACAGATACTTCATCATTATTTTCCCCTTTAATCCAAGGATTCATTTCACTTCATATATCTGAAAGATTCACTGCGGTTCATGACAATGTCATGAGTGTTCACTGATATGATTCACAGAGTGTACATGTATATGTGAATATACTGTGTATCTCTAAAATCAGAAATGAGCAGCTCTTTTGTAATAGCAAATGTTAATGTTTCTGTATACATACACAGTTTGGGAACAGTAAGGTTGTTCATGTTTCTGAAAGAAGCCTCTTCTGCTCACCAAGGCTGCATTTATTTGAACAAAAATACAGGAGAAATTGTGAGATATTGTTGAAATTTCAAACAGCTGATTTCTCAAAATTTTAAACATCGGTGTATATTGTTACAAAATATTTCTATTTTAATAGCAAATCAGCATATTAGAATGATTTCTGAAGGATCAAGTGACACTGAAGACTGGAGTAATGATGCTGATGAAATTTCGGATTTGTGTCACAGGAATAAGTATATAAAAACAGAAAACCGTTATTTTAATTTGTGATATTATTTCACAGTTTTTTTTATATTATTGATCAAATAAATGCAGCCTTAATGAGTCTTTAAAAAACATTAAACATCTTACTAATCCCAAATTTTTGAATGGCAGTGTATATAAAATAAAATAAGATATAAAATTATAATAATAATGTAATATATAAAATAATAAAAAAAATAATAAAATACAAATAAAGAAATAATACATTTACATTTACACACAAACAACAGAAAAAAATTTAATATATTTATTATACACTAATTGTATTATTTATTATTCATTTATAACACACATACATTCATATATTTCTAACATTACTTGCATTTCACCCAGAACATTTCTTTATTAAAATACAGTCTTTATTAGCGTGCAGAGCAAAGCCTCAGATGTTAATTAAACCCGAGCAGATTGATGTTTTATAAAGATAACTCTGTGGAAGCTGATAACCTGCTGCTGCTTTTATTGTAGATGAGATGAGCAGTAAATGCATATGAGAGCTGGGTTTGATCATGTGTGTTTGAATTACAAGCCCAAAGAGTGTGTTTGAGCAGAGACCTGTTCTCCGTTCGCCCACAGCGCTCGCGGTCCTGCTGAGCATGCACATTAATGCACTGCTAATTCATAAACTTTTACTCTCCCTCCATTCAGAGGAGATTTATTTCACTCCCTTCATCCATAAAGCAGGCCACCGCTGAAGCCTCTTTGCCTTTTAAGATCTTTAAGAGACTGGACTCATCCATTTCACTTACGCTCCGCTCTGAACCACAGATCTACTCAGACAATCGCTCTGTTTCATGAGCAAACCACCTACAGACGCCATTATTGAGCATCATGCAAAGACTCAGACATGAAAAATAATCCTAAAAATTCATATATTTATTCAATAAATACAATTAGAATAATCAATCAATATCAACAAAATCCATCTTTGCACTGCAGAAGTTGCACAGAAGCTGCATCTGCAGTGGCATTTATTATTATTATTATTATTATTATTAACGCATTATAATTTATTGGCATTTATTAATTAAAGTGGGATGTATTAACGCATCGTTTTATGCATTGTATATATTTATGCATCTCAGAGATGTAATGAATGCATTTTCACTAATTGCGCAAATAAAGTTATGATTAATGTTTTAAACAGAAAATATAGAACTATGAAACATACTTTAAATATGAAACTAAAACCACCAGTGATCTTACGGAGTGAGTCATTGATTCACTGTTTCAACCGATTCGTTCAATCAGCTGAATGAAGCAAGCGACTTGCTGATTTCAGAATCAGGTACTAGAATATTACTCTTACTATTTATGCCATAAAAAGATATTAGTAAAAAAAGTAGTATACTAGTATGCAGTTTTGAATTTAGCAACTGTCTAAGTGCTTAGGCTTACTGAATCATTGACTCACTCACTTATCCATATCATTTATTTATACATATATATATATATATATATATATGTATTTATTTATTTTTATTTATTTGTTCATTCATTAAATTATTCATTGTATTAAATGCATTCATTTCATTTATTTTGTTTTAATAATTGTATTTATTCAAAATATTAATTTCATTTATTTATTATTTAATGCATTAATTTAGTTATTCATTGTATTCAATGCATTCATTTCATTTATTTGTTTTTAAAAAATTTATTTATTTATTCAAAGTATTCATTTAATTTATTCATTATTTAATGCATTAATTTCATAATTTTTTTTAATCATTGTATTTAATTATTTAATGTATTTATTAATTGTATTTATTTATTCATTGTATTCTTTCTTTCTCAATGTGTTCGAAAACACTTAATTATTCAGGAATGAAACACCAGTGTGTTGAACAATGACACAACGATTGACAAAATAGAGCAAAACCGGCCATATTGACAATATTGTGTATAAAAAGTATGCCACTTAACATTAACATTTTTTATTTATTTGTTATAAACTATTGTCTAAAGTATAAAATATAGATGTTAAAAGGAGGACAAATGAGTGTCAGGACTGATGGCTGCCCTACCTTCAACACAAAAAGCACTAATAAAGGCACCTCAGCTTAATTAAAATGAACTATTTGTGTGCTTTTGTTAATTAGAGCATCACCTCATTATCTTAGCGACATGTTAAGGATTCATAGATGAAGCAAGAATGAAAGAGCGGTGTTATGGTCAGGTGTCTCATCAGTGATGCTGCGCACAGACAGGAGCGTTTCATAGCAGCATTAATATTTCAGCAGACTCAGACACGAATCGTTTGCATGTAAGAGTCTCTGCGGACGGACTGTGCTCTGCTTTAGACACAGACCCTCACAGACTCCTCGACTCACACTGCTTCTGTGTTCAGACCAGCTCTCATGACACCGGATAAATAATTCAGTCCACAACATGATTTAACATCTATTAGAGACATGCTACAGATGACAGCTGCTGATCATCACAGAAAATCATTTTAACTTGCCCTTCACTTTTGTGGTTATATTTAGGACCCACCACTGAAATGATCATATAGACAACATTAGAGCTCAAATAACATTATGCATGAAAAAAGGTGCATTCTAATCTAAGCGCAATAAAGAAAAACAGGGTTGTGCACCATTTACACTCAACTAATTTCCTAAATTGCATTTATTTTAATTAATTAATTTATTCCAATGCATTGATTTCATTTATTCATTGTATTTTTATACATATTTTTTGTTTTAATTTCATTTATTCAATGTATTCATTTTATTTATTCATTGTTTTATTTAATCATTGCATTCATTTCATTTATTAATTTAACTAATTTTTATTTTATTTATTCATTGCATTCATTTATTCAATGCACTGTTTATTTATTCATTCATTTAATATATTCATTCCATTTATCCATTTATTTAATCAGTGTATTTATTTCATTTATTCATTTTATTTATTTAAATTTATTCATTGCATTTATTCAATGCATTCATTAATTCATTCATTTAATCAGTGTATATATTTAATTTATTTATTTTTATTTATTAATTGCATTTATTCAATGCATTCACAGTTCATTCATTCATTCATTTAACCAGTGTATTTATTTAATTAATATATTTAATAAAAAATAAAAAAATTATTCATTGCATTGCATTCATGTTAGCATGACAACTCTACTTAGCAATGTGCTAAAACATACTAGGAACATGCTAACAAAGTGCTAAAACTGAATGAACTGTTTGTTTTAAAATGTCAATTTAGTTTTGTTATATTTCAATTTCACAAAGAAAGGTGCAGCAATAGCCTAATAAAAGGACACCTTTGAATTTATTGTATAATGTCTTCAATCTCATTTTTTTAAAGGGGTCATATGATGCGATTGTAATTGTTCCTTTCTCTTTGGAGTGTTACAAGCTCTTGGTGCATAAAGAAGATCTGTAAAGTTGCAAAGACTAAAGTCTCAAATCCAAAGAGATATTCTTTATAAAAGTTAAGAGTCAACCACGCCTACCTAAAACGCCTCATTTAAACACGCCCCCACATATCTACCTCACTATGTGGAAATATTTGCATAATGCCACC